TTTTTTGAGACAGGGTCTCCCTGTAGCCCCAGCTGTCCTGGAACTCAACTAAGTAGACCAGGCTGGCCTTGAACTCACAGAGATCCACCTGCCTCTGCCTCCCAAGTGCTGGGATTAAAGGCATGTGCCACCACGCCTAGCTCTTTCTATGAACTTAAAAGAGCTAGGCACAATTGTATGTAACTATAATCTCATGTATTCGGGAGGCTAAGGAAGGATGATCCTGAATTTAAGGTCCGCCAGGGCTACATAGACCCCCATCAGAAAGGAGGGAAGGAAGGAGAAAGGAGGGAGGAGAGCAGAAAAGCCAAAGTAATGTGTGTTACATGCCATGTTCCGTTTATAAAGTGGGTACGTCTGCTTAGCTAGAGTGAGTACTCAGTAGAAATGAAAAAAGCAGAGCTTTATGTATACCCCCTTTAAATATGTGTATGTGTTTGTGTCTGAGAGAACATAGATACGTAGATCATAGATATAGTGGTATCAGAGGTCATGCCTCATGCAGGCACTTTTCTGCATCATACATTACTTTAAGAATTATTTGTAGGGCTGGAGAGATGGCTCAGTAGTTAAGAGCACTGCTTGCTCTTGCAGAAGATCTGGGTTCGAATCCCAGCACCCGCATGGCAGATAACAGTTGTCCATAGGTCCAGTTCCAGGGGATCCGACATCTTCTGACTTCTGTAGGCATTGCACACCATGGGTACACTTACATATATGCAGGCAATACACTCATAAAAATATTCAATAAATAATTTTAAAATAACATTTTCAAAAAAATATTTTTAGATATCCAGGCTTTTTAATATTTGGGTTCCAGATGAGGCTGTAACTGAGGGCACAGAGAGCACTTGCAATCAGGAATTCAATTTGTAGACCAGGCTGGCCTTGAACTCACAGAGATTCCCCCTCCCTCTGCCTCCCACTACAGAGAAGATTCTCTATGCACTCAGACTTGTGACTACTTAAACCCAATTTCCATATAGCAGCCTGATTAAGTCTTTATTGTAATGTTAATAATTTGGTTTATAAATATTATGGAAACAAATTACTGATGCTTACAATTTCTAAATTGTCTTCTTATAGGTGATAAAATGTAACTCCGATAGGCAAGAACACAAACTGTATTATGACTTACATTTTAATTGAGTGGAAAATTTTAATTGCCTTTAAATACTAGTTGCAAGTTATTTCTGGGTTGCCAGCAATTAAGTTACCAAAAGTGGAAATTAAATAAGGATTTTATAAGGTCATACAGAGATGCCGATTGATAGGCTTGAGTTCTTCAAAGTAAGGGCTGTACCCTTCCCCTTCCACACAGGTACACAACAGGTATGTGGTAAATGGCTCTTGATGCTAGATGGTCGCTGCCCAAGTTTGCTTCTCTGTTGCTGTGATAAAAACACTGACCAAAAGCAACTTCAGGGAGGAAAGGGTTTATTTCATCTAACAGGTGACAGTCCATCCCTGAGGGAAGTAGGGCAGAACCTCAAGCCAGGAACCATGGAGAAACTGCTTACTGGCTCATTCACAGGCTCATGCTCAGCTAACATTCTTATACAACCCAGTACCACCTGCCTAGGCATGGTGCTGCCCACAGTGGGCTGGGCCTTCCTACATCAATTAATAAACAAGGTAGTTAGTCAGTCCCCCAGAGACATGCACAGCCAATCTGATCTAGGAAATTCCTCAGTGGAGGCTTTCCTATCAGGTGACTCTAAGCTGTACCAAGTTGACAGTTACAGCTGACTAGGACAGTTCTATAGAGTAATAATTCTGAGGGCATGCAATAAATCACCTATATTTACATACAGGCAATGTGTCTCCAGCCTCTAGACTTGATTTTTGTAGATTTTAACTAATATTAAGTCATACCTCTTTGTCGTTTTATAGTGTAAATTAATATAGTATGAGTTAATATTTTTTATTTTAATATTTTTCAATTTTGGGAGCTGGAGAGATGGCTTAGTGTTTAAAAAAACTGGCTGTTCTTGCAGAAGACCCAGGTTCGATTCCCAGCACCCACATGGCAGCTAACAACTGTTCGTAACTCCAGTCCCAGGGGATCCGACAGCCTCTTCTGACCTCCGCAGGCATTGCAAGACATGGGTACACTTACCTACATGCAGGCAATACACACATACACATAAAATAAAAATAATAATTTTTTTTAATTTTTCAATTTTTTCTTTTTTGTGCAGGGCATGGGGTGTGAGGATGCCATGTGCATGTGGAGAGGTAAGAAAACTGTGAGCCTGTTCTCTTCTTCCATCCTGGGTTCCAGGAATTAACTTGGGTCATCAGACTTCCACAGCAAGTGCCTTTACCTGCTGAGCCATCTCACAGGCCCACACTAAACATTTAACAAGACACAGGCACCATCAGGACATGAATTATCCCATCATTGGTGATACAAAACTGGTTTACTTAACGCACTGTTTATCAAATTGTTCCATTTGGAGGTATTGTCTTTTTTTTTAATTTTTTTAATTTTATGTGTATGAGTGTATTGCCTGTATGTATATAAGTGCATCCGTGTCATGCAATTCCTGTGGAGGTCAGAAGAGGGTGTCGGTTCTCCTGGAACTGGGGTTATGGATGGTTGTTAGCCACCATGTGGGTACTGGGAACCGAACCCAGTCCTTTGCAAGAGCAGCCAGTGCTCTTAACCGCTGAGCCATCTCTCCAGCTCCTTGGAGGTATCTTCTACTAATGTGCTTCACAAGTAATCTGGTTTTTTGTTTTGTTTTGTTTTGTTTTGTTTTTTGTCTTTTTGAGACAGGGTCTCCCTGTAGCCCCAGCTGACCTGGAACTCACTATGTAGACCAGGCTGGCCTTGAACTCACAGAGATCTGCCTGCCTCTGCCTCCGGCTTGTTTTTTTTTTTTTAAATGGGTTTTGCAGGCCAGGTGTGGTGGTGCATGC